ATGGCATGTTCCGCCTGAGGCAGCCGGCTGCTGTGGGCTCCATGGGTTTCTAGACTGATCCATAGTAGGGGTTTAGGGGCTTAGGGGTTTAGGGGTTTTGGGGTTTAGAGTTTAGGGTTTACTTGGAGGTTCATGGGTAGTTATAAGCGGGGTTATAAAGTAGGGTAACTATACTTCTAACCCATGTTGGGGGACTTATAACCCTACTTATAACTACCCATGAACCTCCAAGTAAGGCTTCTGGCTCTGCATTCCATAGAGTTTAGGATTTAGCATGGTTCGGCCTTCCATAGAATCTAGGAGTTGCATCGAACTGGGCCCAAGCACGGTTTCAGGGAGCCGCCCATGAACGATGTTATATTGCTTCGAACGGCTTCCGAGAGCTGCACAAAGTCCTCCAGGTTTGGGACGCAAAGCCCAGCTCAAGCCCTCCAACTGCGCTATCATGCCATCCAGGCATCAACTCTTCAGCCTACCATGGTAAAATCTGTCAGCCTCTTTAGGGTTTAGGGTTTAGGCTTTAGGGTTTAGGCTTTAGGGTTTGGCTCCAGCCCTCCAACTGCGCCGGAAGAACCTGAAGGTTTCAAAAAAGGCTCCGATTCCTACAAGAACTCCGAAGACCTAAGCAAAAGCCGGCAGAGCCATGCCAACCCCAGATCCCTCCCCCAACCCTAAACCCTAAACCCTGAACACTAAACCCCTAAACCCCAAAACCCCGAAACCCCTAAACCCCAAAACCCCTAAACCAAATAAAGCCTGAAACCTTATAGATCCCTTTAAAGGAACCCTTATAGCACCCTTTAAAGGAACCCAAAACCCCAAAACTCGAACCCCTGGCCAGCGCCTGCGGCTCCAGGTGACCCTCGGGGTGCACCGTGGCCACGAAGCCCGGGGGAAGCGGCTCACCGGGGGCGAACCTGAAGTTCACTTTGGAGGTTCATGGGTAGTTATTAGTGGGGTTATAGGGTTCCTTTAAGGATTCTATAGGATTCTATAGGGCTTGTGTTTAGGGTTTAGGGTTTAAGGTAGTTCTATAGGGTTCTATAGGGCTTGTGTTTAGGGTTTAGGGTTTAAGGTAGTTCTATAATAGGGTTCTATAGGGCTTGTGTTTAGGGTTTAGGGTTTAGGGTAGTTCTATAGGGTTCTATAGGGCTTGTGTTTAGGGTTTAGGGTTTAGGGTCGTTCTAAGTGGGGTTATAAAGTCCCCTAATAGGGGATACAAGTATAGTTACCCTCGTCATAATCCCATTTATAACTACCCATGAACCTCCAAGCAGGGCTTCGGGGAAGGGTTTAGGGTTTAAGGTTTAGGGCTTGGGGTTTAGGGTTTCGCG